AGCGTCAGCTTTTGCTAGTGTTCTCGCCGCCTAACCAGGCATATCGTGTGCAATCGCGGTTTCCTTGCCGCACGACGGGGCAGAATAAAATTAAACGACTTGTCCAAGAGTTGCAAACTCTCATTGTTGGTCCTCTCACGGAGATGGTCGCAGTGACCGTCTTTATGGAGGGCGTCCGCTCTGGCGTGGCCGGAATGGAAGTCTTCCGTGTGCATTCGTCTTCTTTTGATGAAGCTGAAAATGTGGCATTGAATGTCGATTCAACTTTAAGTCAGCACGACTTAGTTGGAATGCACACTCTAGCAGCTCATCTAGCAGGCCTGATCTGATGGATTTCGGCTATGCTGAGAAAGAGGAGGCAGATCTCCAAGCTGCCGAGCAGCGTCCTAACACCCGACGTTGCTTTATCTGTGGAGACATTCGTCACCCTCGGATTGGCTGTCCTTGTAACCAATCATCGAAACGACGTCCCGCTTCTGCAACTGCTTCCTCGATCCTGACAAATCCCTCGGATTCGTGGTGAACGAAATTCAAGACGTTGTTTCTAAGGACCCGACGTCGGTCCTACCTTCGGACCGAGGTGTGTGTCATGAGATCAACCTGATTTCGGGGAGAAAGTACTGCATAACACGCCAATGGCCCCTGCCTGAAGAGCAGTATGACGTCATTGACGCCCGTTTACGTGCAAAGCCAACGTAGGAATGGTGCGTGAGAGCAAGTTTGACCATTTGACACCCATGTTTTGTGTCTGGAAGCCGAACGGCAAGTGGCAATAATTCACGTTTACAATAAGCTCAACGCTGCCATCATTCCGGCACAGACGCCTATTCCTAAGAAGGATATATTCCAGAACAACATGGCTGGATGTACAAAGTACAGTGAACTCGACTCGGTCGATGGGCATTACCAATTACTCATGAGAGCGAGTGATACTTTGCTGGCAGCGGTGATTACTCCGAGCGGGATGCTCTGGGAGTGGCTGGTGCAGCCCCAAGGGCTGTCAAATTCACTTGCAACATTAGAGGGTCTTGTATTCCACACGAGGGTTTAGGACCGACCGTGGATGCGCGTTCATGATAGCCGCCCTATGGGCAGCCTCCAACTGCTGCTCCTGTGCCTTGTCGAGGCGATTGAAACAATCCCATTTCCCCGGAAGTCGAGAGGTCGGGAAACGGACACGGTGTCAGCAAGGATCGAGCAGAGCTCACGTCTCACCGTTGGCGCACGTCGTCCTCATCTTTTTCCTGTCCTGGGAAAAAGCATCGGACTCGTAGTTAACTTCCTCCGAATCCTCGACGAGGGAATTTGTCGCCCGTGGTTGGTGCAGTGTGTGGCGCTCGATTGCCGAGGGCTTGGGATTTGCTTCCCGTGAAGCCGCGGACATACTGTCCAGAGTTGCACCGCGAGTAGGAGACGAAGAAGGGCTCTGCGACGGGCGCTCTCGGAATCAGCGAGGCTAGGTGTCATTCTTTAAAAGTCTCAGTGCTCATTGAGCAAAGAGTATGTTAAGACGGTCCTAGAGACGTAAAGGTGTCTCAGATATGCAAGCCTCGTACGAGGCGACAGTTGAATGCGAATTGCGGGTATTCACAATTTTGATGGGGAGGGTGAAACGTGAATATACGTACCCTGGTATACAGGGGTGGGTCACACAAGATGATATAACCGCATAAAGGTGCAGAGTACACAAGATGGTGCAATCACACAATGATGTGGCTACACCGTAACAAGAATCTACAACGTGGCGAATTTACTAGTAGTTATGCATATTAAATAGATTTTACTATTTAATTAGGAGACCTAAGGTTCTAGATTTATGTGGCTCTGCCGCAAACAAAACATATAAATACAATGTTCAATTTCGACCGGAAGAGTGTATTTGCCTTGGTTAAAGTTTTGGGTACTCTTGGAGGTAGCGGATTGCGACCCGCTTCACTCGTTCTGGTTCTGGTATAGAACGAAAAATCGGTGACCTTAAGTAACCTTCCTCTAAGCACAGAGTTACGGCAGCCTCGCTGCATACACCGCCAGGCTCCTCGAAGAACATCTCGGCCAGCTTAAGAATAGCATCCACCGCGGGAATAGCCTCGAGGGTGGCTTCGCCGTTTTTTTCTCCCGTCACACCGCTGACAATGGTATATAGCTGTTCACTATCGTCCACGGAAGACACACCCGAGGTTAGAGTCGACCCCTCGAGTCTTGTAGATCACATAAGGCATCGCCGTCTCTTCTCTACAGAGGTTTTTCATCTCGTCGGGACTAGTGTCCCCACTCCCTGCTTCATCGGAGCCTTGCTGTTATTAACAACATCCGACGAAGAGCTGCTAGCTCCGTAGCCTTCGTCCAGTGGATAACGTGCCACTCTATGCGCATCTGAAGGGCCTTACCCAAAACGCCTCGGACTTCGTCCGACCATGCCACTCTTGGCACGCAGCAAGTGCTTCGATACTTGAGCAGTGTTCATTGAGTTATGTGCTACTCCACGCGCATCACTGGAGCCTCGCCCTCGATGCCTCGGCGTTTAGCCGACCATGCCACTCTTGCCATGCAGCAACTGATTTGATACTTGAGCAGCGCTCAGTGGGTTCCGTGCCACTCCACGTTCAGCCCGCGAGCCATGTTCAGGACTCTTGTCCGATAAACCTTCGGTCTTTTTCAACTCGGATACTCCGATATCCAGCACATTGAACGTACCGGTCCAGTGCCCGCGCCAATAGCTCTTCTGCGTTTAGCAGAGGTGGGTTCATGTCTCAACAAAAAACTCCACCAGGAGACGTGTGCGTAGCGCTCAAGGTCTTCGACCTCCAATCAATCCATGCCTCATGGTGTTTCATCCATGCCTTGCCAAGGATAAGGTCATACCTTGAATTTAAGACTAAGGCTGAGCAGCGGTCCACCCTATCGAAGTCAAGAAACTCGACACCGAGGTCCACAGGGACCCTTGGCTCGGTGACACAAGTCCCCGTCGCTAAGCGAACAGTGACGGTGTCACTCAACCGCGCTTTCAGCGACTCAGCATACACAGATTTCCTTCGATCGTGGAGCGTCGAGCATAATTGCCCGATGATTCAAAATCGATGAAGATCTCCCCTGGCTTCTCAGAGCCCTTCACTCGCTTTTACGGCTAGCAAGCCTAGACGTTCCGTCTTCAAGAGCACGGAGCTCTTCGGGGCTTGGCCATGCTGCCCTCAACCACTTTGAGGCTCAACACAACCCAGTTCTTCCCCAGTAGGGCACTGGGTGTTGTCGTTTCCCCGCGACAAACCAGACTGGTGAGAAGCGGGACATTGGTTCGATGAATCTTGACGGGCATTGCGCAGGGGGCGACCAGTCCGAAGGCGTCGGCGTCTCCACAGACAAAACAGCATTAGGTGTTTAAACGCTGCTCGGAAGGTCAGAGCTCTCCACCCTCTTTCTTAGCATAGCCGAAATCCATCGGCTCAGACCCGCTCGACGAGATCTGATGGTGTGAATTCCATCCAAGTTGTTAAAGTTAGATTTGGCATTCAATGCCACATTCACCGTTTCTTCAAAAGAAGACGAATGCACACGGAAGACTTCCATTCTAGCCACGCCAGTACGAAGGCCCTCCATAAAGACGGTCACTACGACGGCCTCCTGGAGAGGACCGGCAATGAGAGTTTGCAACTCTTAAACAAGTCGTTTAATTTTATTCTGCCCTGTCGTACGGCAAGGAAACCGCGATTGCACGCGATATGCCTGGTGAGGCGGCGAGAACACTAGCAAAAGCTGACGCTTCTGCTCCGTCTAAAAGGGGAACGCCGCTTTAACCGAAGTACCGCAAATTAGTGCTCATTCTCGTGCTCGACACCCGAGCTTGGAGATAGCTTGCGCCACGTGCTGTTGCTCGTTCTTGAGCATAGCGGATGCAATAGCCATTTTCGCCTCTCTCACCCATAGCAGGATATTCTCTCCATCCTAGCCCTCGAAGGTCTTAATGCCCACCATGGTCGGGTGGATCCATCCGTCGTCGACAGTGGCATCATAGTCATAGACGCAGTCGACGCCGACATCTTTCGCTGTAGGTGCTCTAGCAGAGCATTTTCATAGCTCGAAAACGCATCTAGGCGAGCGCTTATCGCTTCAGGGTCATGCGAAGTAAGATATTGCGCGCCCTCGGGCCAAGCAGAGACATCAGCTTTTTCAGCCCATCCTGCATGACCAGGGTCAAATAGTAGAAGTGCTCCATCCTCGAAAGGGTCAGTCGTAACGTTAGGTGTAGATTGTCTACAAAGTGATATCAGGTGCAGCGGGTCTGCAGTAGCTCTTTCGCTTAGAGGAAGCTTAGTTATGGTCTGCCACCTCCGTTCTATACTTAGAACCAGTACGAGAGTAGCGGATGGCAATCCGCATACTCCAAGAGCAACTACAACGCTAATCAGCTCATCCATTTGAAATGTAAACTGTATTTCTGGGGTTTATTAGCGGCAAAGCCGTCTATATCTAAATCTATAGGTTTTACTATCGATATAGAAAAATTATTCAAATGTAAAATTACTGGCAACGTACTGCTTTTATATCCATCCAAATGTGTGGACACACCATATTGTGTAAATCGTATTATTGTATGATCCATACAGGTGTGACCTACAATTACAAGTGCCGAGGATCTGGAGGCGTTTGGTGCTGATTTTGTTTCGTTCGTCTGATCCTTTTGTTTTTTATTCAAACTTGTTGCCTCTAGCTGTATTACAATAAAACATCGCCGACTGAATACTAACAAATTTTGCTTCGAAAAATATTGAGTTGGGTCGATGGCAGTGTCCGGAGCACCTATCAGGAGTTTCATTGGTAGCAAAAAGTAACGAAACTAAAAGGTAGCCACTTCTAAGGTGCCTTGACAATGCCAGGCTTCACTGCGCGCTAACACTTGTCCGTATCAGCTAATGTGACTCGCTGCAAATGCATGTTTCTTTTTCTATTTAATGGGTCAAATCTCAAATTATACACAAAATCACCAAAATAAAGAGGACTTGAAAATGCCACCGATTGACGTAGTGGAGTTGCTATTTATTCTTCTCTCGTTTCTTCATGTGGCTCATACTGAGTATACCGAGCGGCTAATACTTCGTCCTCTTCCTGCTCTCAACCAAGTGCTTGGCAGTTTTGAATTTTCTGTAAGCGAAGTCTCAGCAATAGAGTCTGAATCGATTTTTCCTAATGTGTTACGTCAAATCCTCGACAAATATGATGTCGGGTCACTGCATTTAACTTTCTCTATCGGAAAGTACGCGGACTGGCGCTATGGTGCAGCTCAAAACCTAAACGGGTCGAGCTGTGCCCACGCGCCCTTTGGTACTCGACTCCAAGTTGCTCTTCGTGCTGATTTGGACGCTCAGCAACGATGGCGAGGCATCACATCGGAGCTGGGAGGTATCTTTTCAGCCTCACTTAATCAGATGGATAAAACAGTTGTCACCAATCTGCTGCCAACTTCCAAACTTCACGAGTATGGTGTCTATCCCTCTACCAATGTAAGTCAATCGCTTCTATTTCTTCAAGGATCGCTTCCTCGCGAGGAGTTCTGCACGGAAAATTTGACACCCTGGCTTAAGATTCTGCCGTGTCGATCGATTTCTGGGCTAGGAACTCTTATTGATCCTATTATGGCAGTGTCAGGCGAATACCTCATGGTGTCGCTGTATGCCGAACGATCTCCTGACGGCACATACAGCCTCCGACAACATCTGACAACTGTGCAAAGCCCAACGAAACGCAACAAAGCGCGCTGGAGTTTGGGCTCACTATTTCTTGCGAGTCATCAAACCAGCACGAATCTTGTCGCATGTCCGCTTGCTCGAAAGAGCACAATTATCACGAAAGTCAACGATTCCCTTGATATGGTGACCACAGATCTTCGTATCAAGGTCGTGCCTCTTTCTGAACCATGGTTTGAAAACTGGAAGGATGCATCTGAAAAAGCCGTTGTCAATCCCAGCAGCAATAATCAACAGGATGTCGTGTCGGTGCATCGCTTTACTACTGGATATGGGCAGGTGCGTGGTAGCATCGCAGTTCAGCTCCAGAATAATCATCCATCGTGTGGAATGCTCGTGACATATCTCGATGTTATTCCATGGTATCTTCGTATATACTTTCACACGTTCAAGGCGAATATTCGTGGCAATGAGCAGAGAGCGCAAAAAGCAATTCAAGCATTTGATTTTGTGCCAGCCGAGCAGCGTGGGCGTCCTAGTCAGTTGCGTGTCGAGACTTTTCTTCCAGCTAACACGACATTGCTTTTCTCGCTTCAAATGGAAAAAACTTTTTTGCGATTGTCGGAACATCCTCCAGACGCTAATCGTGGTTTTGATATTGCCTCTGGTGTAGCCACTTTTACTATCCAGAAGAATTCTGACAAAGTGTCGGTTTGTGACGAGAAGGCCACGTCTCCTTTTACCACTACGTTATATACAGAACCTCTGCTTGTGCCACTACCCACGCCTGACTTCAGTATGCCATACAACGTCATAACCATGACATCGACTGTTGTCGCGTTCTTTGTTGGTTCGATGCTTAACACGCTTTTGCGCAAAGCTCCTCGTCTAAAGCAAATTATGGCAAATACAAGCAAGTGAAACAACAGTCAACACTATTGATTACTATGCAAGTCGTAATCATCCTTTAGTTGAGACATTACCCATTCTAATATCTGTTACTGTTTGAATGCAGAGTGATCTCCTTGGCTCTCAAAACTTATCTGCAATTTGTTTTCAGTTTTTTGCAAGGTATTTAATGCAGTGCGTCCGAAACTATCTTTCTGCGTTGTCGTATTTATACGGTTTACAGACGCGATATTTGAGCATCATGCACAGTGAAAATGCCTTCGGTGTGAAAGTGACCAGCAATAAGTTAAGAAATTTGAAGGATACGATCGAGCATAGGAGTCGGTGATCATCAAGCGCGACGCAGACCAACAAACTCTATACTGTGCGAAATAGGGCGGCAAATGGCTCAAGACAGACGATCCTGATGTGTTGTGGTTGACTGAAGGCGTGGTTGCAACGGATTTAAAGATTCAATGAAGGATAAAATGGATTCAGGATATCGTTTCCGCAAAGCGGTTCGACTTCCTTGTTAAAGACGCCGCTGCTGATGGCACGTCCCCGCATAGGCCTTATGAATGGATTGCAGAGGAGTTATGTACCTTGCATGCTCATGTGTAATCGATATCTGGAAGTTAGATGTCAAAATTCGTAGAAAATATATGCTCAGGCACAGTTTTGATTGTTGATCGAACGGCAAAGCACCTGTATCTGCTGAGAATTGTGGATTGACGAGGCCTGTATAGGACAATTGAGTGTTAGTATAAATCTTTTTAGCGATTATCAGGACTGTTTTACACGATGAACCAAGTGGACAAAAGAGGAAGGTCGTCGCTGAATTTGAACAATCAAGTCGAAATTATCCATGCACCTTAGGAGGAAAGCACCATGCCAGATAAGTCTGAATTTGTGAGTAAACTCCTCCTTTGTGGAAGTTTTCCAGTTTGGCGTCGATAAGGTGTTTAAAGCCCCTGCAGGTAATTTTGGTGCAGGATAAATCGAATGTGTTTCCACTCTAGAGAAATCACATCATGTTCTGTCCAGATTGCTAGTCATAATCGAAGATGAAGAATGAAATAACATCATACATGCCGCATGACTTCGAGTTTATGGACTTTAGTAAACGAATCGCCTAGATAACATGCATCAAATCAAAGTTTCATTGATATCGCGGCAAAAGCTTAATTAATATTCTGATCTCAATGGAAAACAACAGTTTTGTGAGTCTTGGTGGTGGTCGATATTTTATTGCATGTTGCTATCTCACGCAAAAGTCGTTTGCCTGCGGCTAAACATAAAGATCAGAACATTTTGAAGAAATCTATGCGCGATTAAGCAATTCTATTTTCCTCCGACGCAAATTCGCTATGTTGTGGAAAGGCTTTAGATCACCAGACGATTGTTAAAATCTGTCAAACTTTGGTACATGTTTTTATTACGGATTACAAGTACACTGTGGTCTCCTCGTCTATACGAGCGCATGTAAGTACGAAACGATACTGGTAAGATACTGGTGCGATACTGGTATGGTATCTTATGTGTAGTGTATGTGTTGTTCACTGATTGGCCTAGAGGTAGCAACTAGTTTGTGAACTAAGTACCAAAAATATATTCACTTTGGAATTTC